TTGCACGTGACTGATCCTTTTTCGTAATTAACGAGGATCACACACTGCTAAGTCGCACTGTCCACTGTCGTCTGTCTCGTGCGATTTCTCGCTACATATCCCTCGTAGCCTGTCGCCCCTATCTGATCCGAGGTCTTCTGTGCTTGTAGCCCCCTGGGTGCGAGTCCGTCACTGCTCAAACCTGTCGGTCATTCCTCAGTCGTGCACCGTAATCTGACTCGAGCCGCACGCAGAGTACTAAAAATCACTTCCGTTTGTACTTTCCATTTCTTTCGATTTTGGCAAATGGTTTTGGCCATTGTACATGTTTACTAGGCGTCTTAGAAAGAACGGCCCTCACCCCTACCGATAGGGTTCTACGTGACCGCTCTATGAGGCTTAGTCAGTTATGAGTTTTCCTTTGTGAGCTTGAACACCGCCACCTTTCCGGCAGTTTTTACTCCTCATATGGAGCGGTGTCTCATTTCGCGGAAAATGAGTATGCAATAATATGAATAGATTAATACTTCAGTGCAAAGTCCAGTAACTGATGTAGAGCGTAGATCACATTTAAAGTTCGATTTTTTAGGACAGTTGTTTTTGACACAGACGTTTTTGCCTTATGGAAGTTTGGCATAAATACTTTTATCACATAAGTCAGTAATGGGTCGTTCTGAACTTCAGTAAGTGTTCAAGATCTCAAACTGCGGTTATATTCGCAATACTTTAAACATACACCGAACCGGCTTAAATACGATACTAAGAAAACTTCAGAAATTCTTGAAAGCACGCGTGGCAGATAAAATAAAGTTTATATACTTCAGGTCAACAACGCCGGCATTCTGGTCAGGGGGTCAGTCGCTGACTGCCCTATTGAAGAATACGATCGCGTAATGAACACCAACGTACGCGCCATGATTTCGCTCACTCAGCTGTGCATTCCTGACCTGATTCGTTCAAAAGGCTCGATAGTGAACGTTTCAAGTATTAACGGACCTTGCGCGGTATAGATGCCATTGCCATTGTTAGGTCTGTAGCAGAAATGTGCGCTAAAATTTTACAGTTCGCCGGCGTTGCCTACTACTGCATCTCAAAAGCAGCTGTCGACCAGTTTACGAAATGCCTCGCGCTGGAGATGGCCCCACATGGCGTTCGCGTGAATGCAGTTAAGTAAGTCAGCTACTGTATGAAATGTCGCTGTGAACTTTATATACACTCCGAAAACTCTTCCTTCATCGATGTGGACATACATTGTAATTGGTCATGGCTGGATAAACTTTGTCATAATGGTTTGAATGTCAGGCTAAATATTCTCTAGAAACGGAAGCTGAGTCTTTTGGGCGGGAATTCAACTGAAAATTCGGAAACTCCTTTATTGGATTACAGCGCATATAGAATTTATTGTATGCATATTCACTAACGTTTTGGATCATTTAAGCTTAGTCCTCAAATAAAGATATGATGGATGAACTTGTGACGATATATTATCTCTCCCTGAAAATGGATCGAGTATGATTATAATGTTAGAGATAGAAACGAAAATCTGTGTAGCAAATTCGATATATAATGTCATCTCGTATTTTTTCGAATTTTGATCTAAATTTTCTCAGTACAATTAAAATTAGCGTTTTGAGCAGTCACGGAGAGACAGTTTATCATTATTACATTTGAGAAATAGAGAATACTGCCAGTCAAAGAACAAAGATAGCTGTTCACAGACGAGCGTAAGCGACACGTGATGACAAAACACTCGGGAAGAAAACAAAGCCTCACCCCTAGAAAAGTCAAGCAACAGTGCTAAGAGATTTCGAGATTTTGCAGCACGCGGCACAGCTACGACACGTTCCTCGACGGTCAGAGTGCACTGACATCATCAAAAAGGTTCTTAGCTACACAGGCGTTTCAGTGAGGCATTGGTGATTCAAGTCGACGATGTGTCAACTGTGACAGAAGATACCAACTCTTCGCGGATTGAATGAGCTTTGTCACCCCTCTCGTATCTTTAACCGGCAGCACGGACCAAAAACTTGCTTTTTGGTTCCGAAAACATTAGCTGCTGCGGATAACAAGAAAAACCTCAGAAGCATTGCTAGCTTCCTGCCATGAAGAAGGCTCTTGAGACAAGAGCCAAAACGTCGGTATTGGTCAGCCCTCCGATTGACGATTATTTTTTATTTGTAAATTAATAAACCATGTTTTATGCGGTTTCAGTAAATTTTAATGCCATCGCCACGATCTGCGCACCCACTGTAGCCAATTTTCTGTAGTACATTTGCGATGAGTTATCTAGCTGG